CAAATCATATCATGTTATCAAATAGCTCTATATGAATGCATCTATACAAAGCATCAACTAGAATCATACAATCCAACCATAGTTCACCAAACATGGTGGAGCACTCAAGCAGGAAAAGACTCCTTAAACATAGAGCTTATCTTTTGAAGCTTTACCAATTTGCTCACTCGCAACACAAGTTACATATTTAGCTCCAAAGGAATCCACAAACGCTCAGTCCCTAGGCACACCTAGAGAAAGAATCCAAAACAAAACTCAATAAAATGCTACAATGTCATATAATTACAAGACATACATTTTATTGTTTACTTTCATTTCTTTTCATGTATGCCAATTCTATGCCAATTTACAAGTCAAGACCGTAATTTCTTAAACTAATTTGTTAGATCATTTAAGGATGTTTACCTTACATAGGCTCTTAGAATGACCTAACCAAGCTTCTAAAATACCTTTTACAGCACTTATCTAATATACTCAAGTAGTTCCATCACCCATAAGGCTCAAATTAGTGTTTTCATATTTTTCCCACTTGAGTCACCTTCATTCAAACTGAAGCTGGGGATGAACTATATATCGATAAATTCCAATATTTTAGTATGTTTTTTAGACTTTTTTAGCTTTCCAACCTCCCTCACGGTTTTCGTCCTTGTGAGAGTTCCACAAGTATGATTTCTCTCAAATTTTAATATGTTGTATTAGACACCTAGGGCTTTAATTCGAGTTAGAGTAAGTAATGAGAAAGATATGAATTTTTGAATTTGAACCTTTGGAATGGCCCCTGCACTACGCGAGTTTGGGCAGTCTGGACTCAAATTCACTTTGGGGACAAACCACAACACATAATCCTTTCAAATTTTAGGAAAATATAGATGACATCTCAAGCTTTAAAATGAGGTATCACGAGCCTCATTTGACCAAGGGATGAGGGAGATATCATCCTCCAAAGTCAGAGGTACATATCCAAAATTTTCAAAATTTTGGCACTCATTTTTCAATCAACTTAACTTAGTGTACAATTCATGCAACATATCCTTTCATGAATTAAACACCTTATTTTCCCTCTTGGACACAACATGGCTGAGGCATACCCTTGCTCACATATTTCTTTCTTCATGGTTGAAACGTGTATGATAGAAAACCATGGATTTTCTCAAGTCCTTATCATTTTAACTTGGTTTGTTTTACTTGAAACTCATCACAAGACATATCTAAACATAAAAATATCATACATCCATGATTTCATACATCCCTAGTCAACCCAAAACACAAGAAAACCTAAGTTTGAATCAAAGGAATCATCCATTATAAATAGATTTTCTTACCTTGGATGCTTTCTAACTCTTCAAAAGATTAATCTCCAAGCTTCAATTCAACTAGAACTCACCATTTACACCCAGTGATGAATAGTGACAGCAAGTTTCATGAAGATAGAACAAAGGATTAAGAGCCTTAAAAGATGATCTAAGGATTGGACTTTTATCACAAGACCAAAGGCTTTCCTTTTTGTAAAGGAACCTATATCTAAAAATGGCTAAATCTACAAGGTGATGAGCTTGCTTTTACTTCCATGGAGTTCCCTCCCTTCTCTGTTTTCTGCAGCGCCAATAGGAAGAAAAGAGTGCAAATGGATCGTATTTTATGAGGGTACTTAAGTGACCTAGCATTTTAATTAGTTGGTTATTTTTTTTACCTATTTAATTAACACTACTTACACTTATACTTAAACCCCAAAACATAACTTAATAAATATAATATTTTTAGTCCTAAAATGACTTGCTTGGCATAAATTAAATTTTCTTATTTTTGAGTTCTACCGATAAATTTCACATCAGTGAAAAATACCCCGCAAAAGTCATTGTTCATGACCTAGTCATGATTACAGACAAAACACTCGAAATCATGTTCTGAATCTAATTATGATATTTAAATCCTTAAATTAAATCTCTAATTAAGATTTACCAGTTGGGGTCATTATATTCACCCCACCTTTTAAGGATTTTGTCCACAAAATCACACATATAACATAACACATACCTGACGTCAAACTCAGGATAACGCTGGAGAATATTATTCTCCCACTCCTAAGTAGCATCCTCAGGAGTCAAACCTTCCCATTGTACCTTGACCATGGGAATAACCCTGTTCCTCAATACTTTCTCATCGCGAGCGTATTGATTTTCAACATAAAACAATTACAATAATTTTCGACCGAATTTTATTGGTTTTTCGTCGAAATTTTTTTACGAAATTTCATTGATTTTTTGTCAAAAAAAAATTTATGCAACTTTTCAATGGAAATATATTTCGTCGAAATTTTCGATGAAATTCATTAAATAAATTGTATTTTATGGCTGTCATTTTTCGACGGAATAATCAAACTTTCAACAAAAATTATTTTATCAAAAAAATTGCTACTAACGAAGATAAATACGACGACCTGAATCCCATTGATAATTCAGCCAAAAACTTAATTTTCAACAGAATTTTCACCATTTTTTATTGAATTTTCCCATCAAAAAAATTGACTTGAGAGTAAAAGCTAAAGAGCTAGTACTACAACACAAAACCTAAGATTGAGTTTCAAAAATTGCTTCTTTCTAGTAGCCAACTCTTAAAATGGTGTAATGAGTTCAATCATCTCATAAAAACAAAATTTGAATCAGATCCACAATCTATTATTAAAAGATGCTTGAATTGAAACATTAAAACCTGAAAAAGGTACTTGTACATTCCAACCATAAAAGACTTAGCTCATGCTATAAAGCATATATAAGTTCAAAATAGAGAAACGAGAGGAACAGAACAAAAACATTAATAAACTTTTCCTATTACAATTCTTGAACTGATGAAACGAAAATGAAAACACAAACATAAATGTTCCATAAAAGTGTAGAAATGCAACTTATCAATGGCAAGATTATGGTGAAGAAAAAAAATGAAGAACGTGTATTCCTTTTCATCCTCCCCTTTCTCTCATTTATTTCCTCTCCTCTTTATTTAGCTCCTCATGCTTTCCTTGATCAGTGGTCCCTATGTCACCATTTTCTCTCTCTTTTTCTTACTTTTCCCCCACCTCACCATACGTGTGTATATCCCACTTGTAACCGTTTTCTCTTTCCTCCAAGCTAGCAAAAATGCCTCGAAAGATTCCTTTTGTCTTTTCATTTTAACCCTTTTGCAGGGTCTTTTTTTGTAGACTTTTTCTCTTATTTTTTAAGTAGGCTGAGTCACTTAAGGGGGCGTTTGGTACGAGGAGAAATATTTTTTTATCCGAAAATCATGATTCTCGAGAATATGATGGGAAATTTTTTTTCCAAGAATGTTACTAAAAAGTTGTTTGGTAAGTCAAAAAGTTTCTTGAAAATATTAGGTTAATTTTTTTGATAATGTGTTTGTTGGTTGTAAAATATTGCTGGGAATTGGTCTGAAATTACAAAATTACCCTTCATTATGAATATTGAATCTCTTTCAACTTTATTTGACCTCAACCATCTCTCTCTAGGTTCCCTTTTTTCTTTGCCTTTTTTCCCCCTCTCTTTGTCAATCCGATATCAGGGCTGCTGGAGAGCTATTCCACACCGCCATACCCTTTCTTCTTTTAATCCAAAGAAATGTTGTAAAAAGAATGAGAATCCACTATTTGTGAACCATTGAACTCATGATTTTCTCTTTCAGATAACATAAATGAAAATGCTCTCTACCTGTCATTTGCAACTACATATATCATCACCCATCCCAATTTAATGTCTTACGGAATATGAGACCCCAAGAAAAAAAAATGAACCTGAAGTCTAAGTTCGAAGATGCAAATATGAACAAGAACTGATTTACGGTGATACCCAACTGAAAATCCCACTATAGGAGATTAAGAATTCCAGCTCATTGTTCTTCCTCTTGCAGGCTTGCCATTGTTTGAATCCTCAGATTGCTCACAACAGTCAATCCTGCCCGTGCGTGTTTAAGCAACGAAGAGCAAAAAACCACAATATCACAGGGTATTTTCGTCTAACAGAGGTGTAAATCTTTTTCCATCGCATGTGAAAAAAATATTACCATGGGTTGGATGGTATTCACAATTGGGAATCCGTCATGTTAATCAAAATTATGGAAAAATTATTTTCCCAAGATTATTTCTATTTTTCCTCCTACCAAACATGGAGGGGGGAATTTCCCCGCTCCACTTTCTCAGGGTTCCCAAAAAAATCCTCTTACCAAACAGCACCTTAGGCTTCTTCCTTGATTTTAATTAATTATTTTTTTATTTCCCTATAAAATGTAAAAGTGAACAAATCATAAGCTCAATTTAGTTTTTTGAGATTTAGCAATATTTTTCATAAACATAGCCCAATTCCTGTAGTGTTATTCGCTACAACCCAAAATTGTTCAAAAGTGATATTTCAGCTTATATCAATACAAATTCAATTAAAGAGAGATGTTATTAATCAAAAATTAAACCAAGTTAGATCTCCAGATTGAGATCTATCAAGTATTATCATGCAAATCGCAAATGTAATAGTAAAATATTATTTTTAAAATAATTATTATGAGACAATTGATTCAAGAGCATATAAGAAAATATGAATCTCACTCATTCAATAATCATAAGCGAGACAAAAGCGTACGCACTTGAAGCAGAATATTCTTACTTGGTTCATATTAAATGACCTGATCATTTAACTTTATAAATTATACAGACAAGTCATGTAATGCCAACAACATTAAGTATCATGAAAATATGAGATTTATATGTCAAAACGTAATTTATTCTTTATTTTAGTACATTAAAACATATTATTACAACCGCAATCTTTATTTCTGGTACATTGTTTGAACCTATATGCTTCTGCAAATCATCCAAACCTAATTTTTTTTCTTTTTTTGGTAACACAAACCTAAATCATTATTTAAGCTAAACTTCGTTCACCACGTCATAAGTATTTAAATATTTAATACACAATAGTTACCTTGTAGAACTTTTTTAAGAGATGGATACACAATTACTATTTGCAACCACCGTAACCAAATCCAAATTTTCCTCCTGCAACATCGTACACTATCTCTAGCGTTTTCTGTTGGAAGTTTCCAAAAAGCACACGATCTACACCTCCCGGATACGGTGCAAATGGCAAACAAACAAGGTTGGAGTTAATTGGGAAAGCAAGACCAATGGGAGGTAGATCTAAAACAAGACCATCTGCAAACAAGAAGCTCATTTTCGGAATTTTAAGTTTAAGAAGACTACCAACGTGGTAACATGTGTCGAGAATTACAAACGGTTTCGCCAACTGATAATGGGACATGGCTTTTCTGTATGCTTCTCGCAAAGTAATATAATCCTTGGTAGGTAACCTTGTAATAACAGTACCAGAATCAATGCTTGCAGTACCCTTCTGGAAAGCAATTGGAAGTTTGGTGTTGCCAAGTTTTATTCCAACAATATTAATGCTATAACTTGCTCCTAGCTGTGTGAATTTCAAGGATTTCGAAACTGGTTTAGCCTTACCGAATTTGAGAAAACCAATCTCACTTGCTTTTGATGGGAGACAGTATGAAAAAACTCTCTGATATGTGCTGGATGTTTGTTCCACAAATGATAAAAAACCCCGGTCCATTCCAAGTATGCCATCAGTGCCGGCGACGCTGACATTAGCGTTGAATTCAGCACACCCAAATATTGTGTCATCGAAAGTATCGGATCCTACACTTAACCTTTCTTTAGCAAGATATCCAGCGAGTGATGATCCATCTAAATAAGCTTCCGCGTACTCGCATGTTGAGGTAGAAGAGCAAGTTGTAAATCCTGCATTGTTTTATGATAAAGAATCAAATAACAGAGATGTTAGGTTGCAACGAGGGAAAACCACCATTTTAAAATTTTTGGGCAAAAGAATTGTCCAGATAAAGTTGATTGGATAAGTTTTTTCAAAGTAATGCAGCCAAACATGTCACATATGCTGACGGGACTAGTCCCGTCAATGATACTGTCGGACTCGTGCCACGTCAGTGCCACGTAAGCAGTCCAGTTACCGTAAAACTTCGGAAGGCCATAACTTGTGACTCGGTTATCCAAATCAGATGATTTTTTTTATTTCACATAACTTTTCGATATCTACGCAATGACACCTCATCTGACATATTTTATCTACCACAAACATAGTTTGAATTTGTAACCATTGTACCACAATCACAATAGCGTTAAAATCTAAAGAAGATCTTCAAACTATGTTTGTGGGAGATAAAATATGTCAGATGAGGTGTCATTGCGTAGATCTCGAAAAGTTATGTGAAATAAAAAAAAAATAATCTGATTTGGATACCCGAGTCGCAAGATATGACCTTCCGAAGTTTTACGGTAATTGAACTGACTACGTGGCACTGACGTGGCACGAGTCCCGTCAGTATCATTGACGGCACTAGTCCCGTTAGCATATGTGACATGTTTCGTTGCATTATTTTTAAAAAACTTATCCAATCAACTTTAACTGAACAACTCTTTTGTCGAAAAATTTTAAAATGGTGCTTTAGCTGTTGCAATGCAAGCCATAAAGAAGCTTATATATATTTTAAAGTTACCTAGTAGGTTAACGGATTGTATTACAACATTAAAAAATTGGGTTTGCAAAGTGATAGAGAATATTATAAACCATTAAAAGGTCCTCACCCAACACCTTAAGATTTTGGGTTGAATCATATATTGCGTGCATGACAGAGGGAAAAAAATCTGCATAATCTATTGAATGCATAGTTTACCTAACGTGGTATTGGTCAGACTGCATGTGTGTGAGGGACATGTAACGTTGATGTAAGTTGAAGATTTTGATGGATCAAAGATTGGATCTGCTTGCTTGTAACAACCATGGTAACTTCCAAGCTTACAAGGTTGGCATTGAGTCCATATGAGACTACTTCCTGTATCCATCACAAGCGTCAACTCCTTTTTAGGTGTTCCCAGACCCACATTTACAGCGTATTCAAAAGTATTGCTACTATCCAACTTTACTTTAACAGTATTCTCGCCATAGAGCTTGGACTGCTGCTTGAAGTTCAATCTTGTTTGGTCTCCTTCAAGGATTTGACGTACAGAAGGAGCATTTGCTTTGCCATGCTTGCTTGGAGAGCAGGGTCCATATTTGTGGAACAATTTCAGACCCTCCTCTTTGGATGAGACTACAGTTCAAACCAATCACATCTTCAAAAAAATTACTCTTGGAAAATAATTATGTAATAGAGCCTGAACTTAATTAGTTTCATGATGAAATAGGGATGTCGGGGATGAAAAATTGCATACGGTTTAGTATTGTTGATTTTGATTTGGCAGAACATTGAATTGAAACTTGTTTTTGTAGTATGAGACAATAAAGCGAACCTGTGGCAGAATGGCTGCAATTTGAGTCTGTCAGTAAAGAGCTGATTTCAACAATGTGGAAATCATTGCTTTCTGTTGGTATCTCACTCTGAAAGGCACAACTTTGGTGTATAGAATTGAGAAGAAAATGCAGAGCAAGAAAGCGAAGCAGAGAGAGAGAGAAGTTTCCCATTTTTCTTGTAGTAGTCTTCTTCTAAAGTTCTGGTGCTAATAAGTAGTACTATATATTCTTCTGAAGTTCTTGGAAGTCAGCTAAGGAGAAAATTAACGTGTGTGAACAAAAAATAAAATAAAAATAAAATAAAATCTCAAAGCCTTATCAAAGTAGCAATGAATATGTTATCAAAAAAAAAAAAAGGTAGCAATGCATATAGCAATGTCCGATATTAAAATAGTCTCAATGGAGTAAACAAAGTATTTTTTGAATAAGATAAAAGACTGCCGCTGGCGCAAATGCGTATTGACAATAAAAAAATTAATTAATTTAAACACTCCGTATGAATACCGATTAATTTCAGACCTTTTAACTAGTTTTGGATAACCACTAACGTAAATTAACGGAATACTAAAAGATTTTATTGAAAGGTTGTTGAATCGCAAATACATTTTGTGCATGTTTGGTAGGTTTTTTATGTCGTATATCAAAAATTGTATCGATTAGTAAGATATAGAAATATAATAAAAAATAATTTAAAAGTATATAATATATTTAATATCATATTGATCTAAATTTCAAAAAAGATCTAATTCGTAAAACACATAAGTTACTAAAGTGCAAATCAGTTATTCTCCTACTCATCAGTGACCAAAACTAATATTATCACTACTATATAGTGTTTTAAAATCATGTCCCACACTGGGATCGATCCCGTCGGGTCACTGACTCTCTCTCTCTCTCTCTCTCTTTCTGAGGGTTGAGGTCAGCAGTTAGACTCTAAATGCATGTTGACCCCTCTGACCCCTGAAACCCCTCCGGTTGAGCTCGTGACTCCCGGGTCAGAGGGGCCACTACATTTAAAAAGAAAAAAAAATTACAACACGAAAAGACGTCTTTTGATTTGTAAAAAAATGAAACAAAAACAAAACATAACAAAAATTCATTGCTGCCTAGATCTAGAACTAGATCTAAAATCTTAATCGTTCTTTTTCTTCTCTTCCGATCTTCTCTCCGTAACCCAGACCCAGTCTCCCGGATCCGGTGATATCCTCCGTCATGGTGGTGGTTCCTCCTATCATCTCCGGTCTTCTCTCTCCCTCTCCTTTGCCTTGTTAGTTCTACTCTCTCGCGTTGATTCGTTGCGCTGTAGGTGCGTGAGAAGGACAATAAGAGCCTGAGTTTGATGATATAACTTTTATTAACTTCATTAGAATATGTGTTTTATACTTTGATAGTTTGATACTTTCATTAGCTTGTGTAATATTGACTTATGGATTTAATTGATTGAATTATATTAAGTATATTTTGAATCTTTGATAATTGATAGTTTGGGTTTTTTGAATTTTTCACATGGGATATATATTTGTAGTTTTTAATGTATAAAATTGGGTCAGCGAAGTGACCCCATGACCCTTCGGTTGAATCCATGACCCTGTGATCCCTGACCTCGGTCGAGTCGATGGTCAGGCCGAGTTTTTAAACACTGCTACTATATATATCACTATCAGCATTTATCAGTGACATAACTAATCTATGATTCTCTTCATTGGTGTAGTTGTTTGACTCATCTCTCATTTCTTATTCAACAATCTGAGGTCATTTTTCCTTATCATTCTTATTGGTAATTATTGGTGTGGAAGTAACACCCTTGATAAAGGAAAGTGCATGTCGTCAACAAATAATACAAGATTGTGAGTCCAGATATCGTTCCCACTAAAATGATTTACAAAACGTGATTACTCAAGTAAAGAAATTAGAAAAGGAACAATCGTTATTGATGGTTTTGTAAAATAAGAGACAATTAAAGTAACTACCCACTAAATTGAAGAAAACAGCAAACTAAATTAATTGATTAAAGTGATGGATGTGAAATAGGTTAGGGTTAATTTCCCTAATACGGAAATACTGTAAAGATGCTATAACATAGACTCTATCAATTTCCAATTAATAACCGAACACAGGGACTCTCGCCAACTTTACATATATACCCAATAAATAAATTTCAAATCTCTATGGCCAAATTAATTACTGAATTCATTAAGTTCAAGTTCTAAGGCTATATGGTGTGAATGATCTCCTTACTCACAACTTCATTAAGTTATTATTTTTAACCTAATTAATCCGCACTACTCAACAAGGGTCTGGATTCGCAAACCTCTTGGCCCCAGCCTCCTCGTATATATATATATATATATATATATATATATATATATATATATATATATATATATATATATCGACTTGCACATATGAATGGAATAAGCATACTCATTGAATAACTAATTAAAAATTAACAAAAGTCTTCACTTAGACATCCGTTACAGCATTACAACATAGGTACTCTATCACCAAATCTAAAAACTATTTAGCTCATGATGGAAACAAAGAAAGAAGAAAGAAAAGGAAAAGAAAACATTAAGACATTTTATAAAACTAAATAATGATGCATCAAAACTCTGTTGCTACTAAGTTCCTCCTCAGAGATGCTATAGCAAGACACTACTCTGACTTCAACTTCCAAGGACTTCTTCCTCTCTCTAAACGTATATGTGGAACTACCTTCAGTCTTCTGAGGCATGCTTGAGTTCGTGGTGAAGTCCTCCTTAAAAAGGAAAAATGGGTGGTTATTTGGGTCTCAAGTTAAGTGAAATTCCTTAAGTTTTGCTAATGCAACTTTATTTTATCCCAACTTTTTCTTCTTTTGGCTTAGGTTGTTATCTTATTTATTTAATCTGAAATGTAGTTTAATCTTCAAAAATGTATTTATCCCTTGCTTAATGGTGAGTTTTCCTTTGTTGGAAACTTTAATTAACTTTTGAAATTTGAATTTGAGTTGTTCCCTCATCCTTGCTGTCATGTCGTCCCTATTGCTGTATCTTTATTTTTCTCTTCAATTTTTCTGCTACAACACTCGAGCATCAACTTTTCATGCAAAGTAAAATCACTTAGCAAGTTATCTATTCTTCCGCAAAATCAAGGATATTTATCTTATTTTTCATATTTAGTCATCTCAAAGAACTTAATCATGAATATGCAATATACCAAATTAACTCTCTTTTAGGAGAGTTAACAGCAATATCATTTCATTTATTAGTAGATATTTTTCAGATTGATTTTTGAATTTAAATCACAAATCAAATCTTTATTCTTTTTTCTTATTAATAATTTTTTTTTTGAATTTAAATCACAAATTAAATTTTTATTATTTTTTTTATTAAAAATTATAAATTTACGATGCATTATCATATTATTCGATATAACCCTTTTTCCGATATGTGTAATTTTGCTTGTGAATCGTATCATATCGTACGATGCTTGTAAGTTCGTAACTATATTTTATTTCAGTTTCTTGGAGGTGATTCTTGCATTCTCTTCTTGCTCCTGATTGAAGTTGTTAATTTTAATTATCACTCGTGCTTTTTTGTTAGGATTTTTCATTTGTTTCCAAATCTACTCTCTTGGTTAATCATAAATTTTTCTTTACAATTGATTTTGCTACAAATTAGTCTAGTTAAGTTTTGGAAAAGTTGCTTTTTTCCGTACAGTAAAACTAGCAGTATACTGACTGCCCGATCGTATTAATGTAGAAATCTTTTTTATATATTTTTTATATTTTTAAATAATTAATTAATAATGATAGTTTTAAACAATAAAAATTAAAGACAGACTTCAAGTAGTTTGCATCTAATCAAGCCACTTTTCCATTTCATATATATAATAAAATAATTTCATATATTAGATGCAATTTGAATGTAAGACTTATTTTAATTTTTTTCTCTCTCTGTTATTCTCTCTCCCCTCGCTTCCATGCATGTACAGGAGATTGTTTTTCTGTTATGGAACATGAGAAAAATAATCCCCATAGAATAAAGTGAGACAAAATATTCTAATAAAGTTTACCCTACTAAATATATTGTAATTAAAGGGTCCCCCCAACCATGCCAAATGTCTCAACCATAATGATGTTGAGTAAAATAGAGGAAGTGGACGTTGAAAGTCAATGTTGGACTAATTTCAAGTCCGACAAAGTGACTAAGTGCGCCATGAAAGAATGCAACGGGGCACACGGCAATATTGAGATCAGTAAGGACCGTTTTTAATATTTACATGCACCATGATTCCATGAATCAAGATAGAGATCATGCGCATTTCATTTGTTATTTTTATTGCAGCTACTATTATTTGATTTGTTACCTGAAATATCTTATGAATTATGCAATTAATCATTTATCAATCTAAATGAATAAATGGATTATACTTTACTATTAACAAAGAAAGGAAGAATGGGGGAACTGCATCTTTCTATCTTTTCCGTCGTATCATATAATCATGGGGAAACTGCATAATTTACTGAAGTCTGCTCTGTGCCCGATCATACAAGGGACTCTAATGATTTTTCTCTTGCTAATCCAAAGATGATAAATTGAATGAAAGTCATAAATACATACATACATCATTGCATAGGTTATATCCCTATGGACCCACTTCCAAGAGTTGTATCTGTTGGGAACTTGGTTCCCTCTACCCGGCTAAAAGTCTTTTCGCGGAAGTCAATCAACAAGATCCTGGATCTCGAATCTCAACAATCCTACCTCAGCCTGAACTTCACAAGGTCGGGCAGCGCAACGGAAAAACAAAAATATAAAGGGAAGAGAGAGAAAGAGAACACAAGCAGTTTTAACGTGGAAAAATTTTCTCCAATGAAGAAGTAAAAACTCACGAGACCTAGTCCAGTTCAAACATCCACTATGAAAATAATGGGTACAAAGAATCAAGACTCACCAAAGTGGTGGTTAACTCAACCTCTCCAACAATGGTGATAATCAAACTTCCCTAGAGATATTTCACTCAAACTCTCTCTAGAGATCTCTCAAAATACAAAGTTGAAAGTTTTGCTCACAAATCTCTCAAAATAATTTTTCTCATTCTTCTAACCTAGCCTCCACCCACAACTAATGAAAATATATAGGAGGTGGATTCTAGGGTTAGAGTTTTTAGGAAACCCCTCAATGGGCTTGGGCTTAGCATTGAAGGAGGAAGTCCAACAAATCTCTCCTTCCGACTTCAATGCGTTGGTTGCAGCATCAACCCGGCTCCTTCACAGCAGTCTTCAAATTTCCTTGTTGGAACCGGCTTTGTCATCATGTCGGACCAATTTTGGTCAGTGTGCACTTTGACGAGTTTGAGCTCTCCACCTTTCACCACATCCCGGATCCAGTGATACCTCACATTAATGTGCTTGGTGCGGGAGTGATAGGTCGAATTCTTCGCAAGATGAATTGCGCTTTGATTGTCACATCCTAGCTCGTATTTGTCTTGATCATGACCGAGTTCCATGAGGAACTTCATCCACGGCATCTCTTTGCTTGCCTCAGTAGCGACAATGTACTCAGCCTCGGTTATCGATACTGCAACACACTTCTTAAGTCTTGATTGCCAAGAGACAACTCCTCTGGCAAATCTCATCATGTATCCCTTCATCGACTTCCTGGAGTCGGAATCTCCTCCTAAATCAGCATCTGAGTAGCCTTGCAACTCGGCTTTGCCTTCTCCAAATTGAAGGTATAAGTTGGTCGTACCTCGGAGGTACTTGAAGATCCACTTCACTGCTTATCAGTGCTCTTGTCCAGGGTTTGACATATATCGGCTCACTATTCTAATAGCATATGTCAAGTCGGGTCTAGTGAAAACCATTGCATTCATCAAGCTTCCGACAACGGATTGGTACGAGATCTTCAACATCTCGTCTTTGTCTTCATCAGATCTCGAACATTGCTTTTGGTTCAGCTTTATGTGTTCGGCTAAGGGGTGCTCACTGTTTTGGCTTTGTCCATGCTGAATCTATTTAGACTCTTCTCAATATTTGACTCAGCCACAGTAGCTTCTTTTTTCTATCTCAGATGATCTTGATTTCAAGAATTTTCTTTGTAAGGCCGAGTTCCTTCATTGCGAAGGACGAGCTCAAAGCCTTCTTCAGGGCGGCTATCCTTGATTTGTCTTTCCCTACAATAAGCATGTCGTCAACATATAATAACATTCTGCGACCTCATACCTCTTCACAAATACGCAGTGGCCGGCCTCTGTCTTCTCAAATTTGTGATCAGTCATGAATGATTTAAACTTCTTATACCACTTCTTATAAGTTGTGATCAGTCATGAATGATTTAAACTTCTTATAAGTTGGTCGTACCTCGGAGGTACTTGAAGATCCACTTCACTGCTTACCAGTGCTCTTGTCCAGGGTTTGACATATATCGGCTCACCATTCTAATAGCATATGCCAAGTCGGGTCTAGTGCAAACCATTGCATTCATCAAGCTTCCGACAGCGGATTGGTACGAGATCTTCAACATCTCGTCTTTGTCTTCATCAGATCTCGAACATTGCTTATGGTTCAGCTTTATGTGTTCGCCTAAGGGGTGCTCACTATTTTGGCTTTGTCCATCCAGAATCTCTTTAGAATCTTCTCAATATTTGACTCAGCCACAGTAGCTTCTTTTGTCTATCTCGGATGATCTTGATTTCAAGAATTTTCTTGGTAAGGCCGAGTTCCTTCATTGCGAAGGACGAGCTCAAAGCCTTCTTCTGGGCGGCTATCCTCGATTTGTCTTTCCCTACAATAAGCATGTCGTCAACATATAATAACAAAATCAGAAAATCTGCGACCTCATACCTCTTCACAAATACGCAGTGGCCGGCCTCTGTCATCTCAAACTTGTGATCAGTTATGAATGATTTAAACTTCTTATACCACTGCCGAGGTGCTTACTTCAAGCCATATAGGCTCTTCTTCAACCGACATACTAAGTCTTCTTGGTCTAGAGCTCGGAACCCCTTAGGTTGCTCCACATATATCTCTTCTTCTAAGTCACCAAGAAGAAATATTGCCTTCACATCCATTTGTTCTACCTCGAGGTCCATCAAAGCCGCCATAGCTAACACGGTTCGGACCGAGGTCATTTTCACCACAGGAGAAATTTTTTTCTCAAAATCAACTCATTTCTTCTGATTGCAACCTTTCACAACAATCCGGGCTTTGTATCTCGGCTTATGCCCGTTCTCTTCATTTTTAATCTTGTAGACCCATTTATTTTTCAGAGCTCGTCTTCCTTCAGGCAACTCGGTCAACTCATAAGTATGATTCTTATGCAAAGACTTTATCTCGTCTTGCACTGCCTTTTCCCATTCTTCTTTCTCTGAGCTCGTCACAGCATCATCGTAACTCTGAGGCTCACCATCTTCAGCAGCAACGGTGTATTCTTCATATGGGTATCTTGTAGAGGGTTTTCTTTCTCGAGTTGGATATCTTGGCTATTCTTCAGCTTGAGAACTCGGTTCATCATTCTCATCCCGGATCTCATCATCAACTCGGACCTCAGTATCTTGGTCATCATCAGCTTGTTGCTGGTCATCATTTTCTTGATTTTCTCCCCTTGCTTCAGCTCGGATAGGAGGAATGGATTCTTCACGTCTGACATTAACCCAGACTTTGGGCTTCGAGATGTCATGAATGGTCTCATCTTCATGAAAGATCACATCTTGGCTTCTCACTATCTTTTTATTGATTGGATCCCAAAGTCAGAACCAGAACTCACATCTCGGTGAATGCATTCTTTTGTCTTTGCATCGAGTTTTTCCCTTTCATCTTTAGGGATATGCACGAAAGCGCAGTATCCAAACACCTTCAGTTGATTATAGGCAACCTTTCCGATCTGTCCAGACTTCTTCTGGAATTTCTCCTTCAAGTGGTCGTGATGGTGAGAGGTTGATCAAATCAACAACAGTTCTGATGGCTTCTCCCAAGAATGATTTCGGCAATCCAACATTGGATAGCATACTTCGGACCTTCTCTTCAATAGTCCAGTTTATCCTCTTAGCAAGTTCATTCAACTGTGGAGTCTTGGGAGGCGTCTTCTCAAGTCGAATCATAGCCGCTCTGCAGTATGCATCAAAAGAGCCGCAATACTCACCATCATTGTCAGATCGGACCATCTTCAATTTCTTGTTAGTTTCCCTTTCAACCATTGCATGGAATTCTTTAAAGGATTGAAGTACCTGGTCTTTAGACTTTAACAAATAAACCCTCACTTTGCGGGAGTGGTCATTAATAAATGAAATAAAGTACTGAGCTCCTCCAAGAGACCTCTTTGACATGGAGCAAACATCAGTATGAACAAGGTCAAAAATATACCTATGTCTTCCGGGTTGATCCAGTTTCACGAAAGAAACCCGGTGCTGCTTTCCAGGTAGGCAGTGCATGCAACTCTCCAACATTTGACCTTTCAACCCGGTCAATAATCATTTCTTGTTCAGGATTTGAAGCCCTTTCACACTTATATGGCCTAGGCGCTTATGCCATAGCTCCAAGTCAGGTCCATCTCGGACAGAATTGGCTTCTTCGCCATTTATCTTTCCTTGCATCACGTACAAGGAGTCTTCCTTCTTATCTCAAGCAACTACCAAGTTTTCCTTGGCCAACTTCCATCTAACACTACCGATGTAGTTCACTAACCCGACATCATCAAGCTTGCCTACCGAGATTAGGTTCAATCGCATGTCAGGAATATGCCTTACATCATTCATCACAAGTTCGCACCCAACATCCGTGGTCAGGGTCACATCACTGACACCAACAATCTTGCTAGTCACTTGATTTTCCATCTTCACGACTCCAAAATCACCACCCCGGTAAGAGGAGAAAAAACCTTTGCATGGAGTAGCGTGGAAGGAGGCACCAGAGTCAACAATCCAGGTGCAATCATCATATGCAATATTCAAATAATTATCCTCACTAAGGAGGAATATCTCGGCATCCGAGTTGGCAGCCACCACAGTGGTGCTCTTGTCTTCTCTCTTCTTGGGAATAATCTGATCTGGCTTCACAGAGTCGTTCTTCTCATCATTCTGCAGAGTCCAGCATTCTAGCTTCTTATGCCCTGTCTTCCCACAATAGAAGCACTTCAACTCATATTTCGACTTTGACCGACCTCTGGACTTTTCTCTTCTGTCACGATCTCGACCCCGACTCTTGCTTCTACCCCATGAGTCAGATTTCCCTCTATTCTCTGCAACGTTGGCCTCAGACGTGCTAGAAACACCTCGTTCTCTTCTCCTGGCTTCTTCATTTAGGAGACTATATGTTTCGGCATCCATCTTCAATTTTCCTTCTGGAGCCGAATTATTCAAAGTCACCACCATAGTATCACAGCTTTCTGGCAGCAAGCTCAACAGCAGCAAAACCTGCATCTCGTCATCTATTTTCATCTCGACTTTAGATAGCTGATTAACAATACATTTGTAGGTGTTGAGGTGTTCAATCATGCTCATGTCGTCTGTAAGAACCCGCACCGTTAAATTAGTAATTTTAATAATTTAAATGAGCTTGAGAAATAATTTCATAATTGACTTGAATAATTATGAAAGCACTTAAATAATTAATATAAGGGTTTAATAATGCTGAAAGTCATTTTTCTGACGAAAAGTGCAGATACCGATTCTGCTTCACGGTATAAATGTGTACCGATGAAATATCCCAAAAAATTATAATAAGTACATGAATATTCCTAGAATAATATCTAAGTCAAGTATAGCAAGTTTAGAGTCGTAATAATGAGAACTGATGGCAGGACTGATACCAGCTATGTAAAAACGCGTAGCGACAAAGTGCTGCAAAAATTATAACAAAAAATATGTCAAATCCTAGAAAAATGACTAGGTTAAGAATCTAAAGTTTGAAGTTAAAATGATTAACAGAACTATTAGCGCTAATACCGACTGATTAGTTTAATGAGACTATAAATATTAAATGCACAAAACCCTAGGTTGATTCCCATCAGTTTCTACGTGCCTCCATTTCTAAAGTTTGGTGTTCCTTACTTGCCACCCTTCTCCTCCTCCATAGAAACCTTCAAAGGATCACATTTCTTCATGTGTTCTTCACCAAAACACCATAGCTAGGTGTGAGTGAGCATTGGGAGGTAGAGAGACACCACATTCTGAGTTGTTCAGCCACTGTGTGAGTGTGTGAGGATGATATCTTTGGTTGTTGGGTTGGAAAGCCATTTTCCTTGGCCATTGAAGCTTCAAGGAGCTACCTTGTGGAGAAAGAGACCAAGCTTGATAGCCATTTTCGTGGTCTTGTGTGGTCAGAATCATTTAGTTGTATTGGAAGCTCCAAGACCACCTCTTGTTTCTGTTTTGAGCCTTGGGGATATGTTCCTCACCTTTGTTCATGAGTTTCCTTGTTAAAGATCAATTCTTGGCATCAAAAATGATAGGATTAAGTAGCCAACATAAATACTGACTTAAATGTGTATAAAAATGCATGCTTGGATGTGTAGAAGTGTTAAAAATGATGTCTTGGGGGGATATCTTCGCGAAATGCAAAGACTGCATTCTATCGCGAAATATCCGGATATGATATCAGGATATTGATATCCGGATATGGGATTTGTGATATCCGGATATGATACCCGGATATGTCCTCGTGGAATATCCGGATATTCTGGGAATTTCGAGTTATGCACTGTTCAGTCCAAACAGAAGTGTAGATTGGGTTTCTGGACCCATGAGTTAACTAAGTCAGAATCACTTAGATTAAAAGCTTATGGCTTTGGGAGAAGCTTAAGAGCACGAAACAAAAAAGGAAACGTTGTTGTAATGCTATAAACTTCTAGATCATGTATGTTGATAAGGTTTCTGGTCTAAACATATTGTGATTGTGTTGTTGGGTGACCTTGGGTTGGTGTGAATTCTTGACTTTGGATTGTTAGCTTGAGAGGTAAGCTTTCAAACCCCATGGGGGATTGGTTTATGTGCATGGTATGTTTTCTAGAAATTATATTTGTTGATGTTATATGTATTGAATATGATGTTGAGCTGGATTATGATATTGTGCATTTGCCATATGTTATGTATGTGGGGTGTTCCACCTAGACGGTAATCCCTGAGTATGTGGAGACATACAAGATGGTAACTCCATGGGTGAGATACAAGAGTACTGTGGGTTGTAGACGTACATAATTCCTACCTTTTATTCTCTGGCCAGTAGGATGGTTACACACATGACATGGATATATACTGCATTGCACAGATTTTGGGATATGTGAGCATGGGAATTGTCCATGCCACATTGATATCAGACATGTTTGCTTATACTTGAGTTGTATAACGTATTAGGATATGGTCCGGTCTACGTGTTGTAGTTCTGTGACTTGATACTATTTATGATATGAGGATATTCAGTGTAGTTATTATTGCAATTTATATACAGGCAGTATTTTGAAAATGAATAAGTAATTCCACTTGTTAAATATGATAAGTATTCATAATTGGAAAGAAAAAGTTAGCTTCGGCATTTATTTAGCTGCGCTATTGTCATGTGTATGTTTAATACACCGGGTGTACACAGGGTGTTACATCGTCCTTCTATTCCACCTTCACAAGTCGGCGAACCAGGTGTGCTTTGTTCTTGGGAGTCTTTTTTTGAATCATGGACTCCAGCTTCGTCCACAACTCTTACGCATTCGTGAACTCGGACACGTGCTCAAAGAGGCTTTTGCCAATGTATTTCCTGATTGTAGCTACCGCCTTACGACTCAGGATCTCCCACTCCTTATCAGTTTTTCCTGCCGGTCTCTCATCAAGGATAATGGGCTCATGTAAATATTTGCAGTAAAGATTATCTTCCATCATCAGCCTCCAATAGGTAAAATTGTCTGTGGTCAGCTTGAACATATCTTTGTCATGGGTTATACAATTCGTCTCCATCTTCTCTCCCCCAGAACCCTTCGAACCTGGGCTCTGATACCACTGGTCGAAACTCGGTTCCCTCTACTCGACTAAGAAGCCTTTTCGCAGAAGTCAATCAACAAGATCTTGGATCTCGGATCTCGGCAATCCTACCTTGGCCTGAACTTCACCAGGTCGGGCAT